GCGGTGACCGGACCCTTCTCCCCGCAGGCGTCCGGCAATAAGGTGAGCCGGCAGTCCGTGCTGTGCGGCAGCCAGAACATCGTTCTCAACGGCAAGGTAGGCGGCGGGAAGCGGGCTGCGGTGTTCCCCGCTACCCCGGTGGAGGGGAGCGCGGCCTGAGGGGAGCACTGTCAGGGTGCTCTGCTCTCTGAGAGCACAAACGGAGCTCTCTCTGTGTGTGGGCAGATCGTGGTGCTTTATCCGAGGAAGGACGTGTTTCTGTTCGTGCTCAAGCCTTGCGCTGGGTGTCGGGTGGCTTTGTGGAGCTCACTGGCACGATGGGAGCGCAGCTGGCTCCTGTGTCGTTTGTCTTTTGCTTTGTTCTCACTTTTCTTTTAACTAAAAGTATCATCTGTAAGGTAACATCTTGCTGGGGTGGCCTGACCTCTGTGTGAGTCTGTGTAATAACTGGTAACCTGGGTAGAGATCGGAGTTCATTTATCTCTCTTTTCTTCTCCAGACAATAGTTATGAATGACTGCATCATCCGGGGTGACCTGGCAAACGTACGGGTGGGACGACACTGCGTGGTGAAAAGCCGCAGCGTCATCAGACCGCCCTTCAAGAAGTTCAGTAAAGGGTAAGACGTTCCCTTCCTTTAGGGAGGCTGAAGTTAAAATCTGTAGACTTAAAAAAAAAGTCTTGTCTGAGATCTATATTTAGAGGGCTGTGGTCCTTTTGCAGCAATTTACAGAAATGTATTCCTCTAGAACTGCCTTTCCCTCAGACTTTCAGCTTTGCCTTAAGGGTTAGCCTTCAGACCATAGTGTGGAAAGGCTGGGATTAAAATAGCTACGTGAAGAATGTCTTTCACTTCTTCTTGGTTTATTCACAACATCTTCCCGTTGCTCGTTTGGGCCCTCCTCTAGAAAGAAATGAGAAAGACCAGTGACTGTTCCATCTTTCTTAGCATCACATCTCCTTCTGGCGTTGCAGCTGGAGACGGGAGGGTTCACAGAGTGATTTTTGGGTCTAACAGTGTCGCAGATCAGTCTGTGTGTTGCACACCTGAACAAAGAACTCTCCTGTCACAGGGTGGCTTTTTTCCCTCTCCACATCGGTGATCACGTCTTCATAGAAGAGGACTGTGTTGTCAACGCAGCCCAGATCGGCTCCTATGTCCACATAGGCAAGAACTGTGTCATTGTGAGTGCGTTTCTCAGTCTTTTTAAACTCTTGAGTGGTGTTGAGGCTTTGTAACAGCAGCAGAGAGGTCTCTGCACCACCTGGCTGGAGCCAGCAGACTGGCTTTGTGCTCTCGCTTTCTCCTCCCCTTCCTTCTCCATGGAAAGTGCTGCTTTTGGTTTTGCTTTTCTGAGGATAGTGGGTTCAGCTGCCCACTGTTTGGAAAATCCATCCCAACAGTATTGTCCCTGTGGCTGACTGGGCTGTCCAGGGAAGGCAGCTTTCCCTGAAGTACAAATGGAATTGTGTTTCTGTGCAAATAACACAGTCAAGGTTGCTGTCTGCTGAGTTAGAGAAGGCCTCGCTGCGTTACTGCATGACTCGGGTTTGCATGTTGACATGTGTTAATGTGCAGCTGCCTCTACATGTGTTAGTTGAGAAAGAACGGATGTTTTTTCCTCAAAAAATAAAAAAAAGTTAACCTGTTGGGAAGAGCATTCAGCCAGGGTAACGATTTATTGCCATGATCCCATATCAGAATGTGTTTTGAGCAGTTAAACTTGCTGCAGTTTAGGTAACGTATCAGTCATGAGCAAAAGCATGTGGTGTTTGAAGTATAAACTTTACCCGATCTCTGTTTTAGGGTCGTAGATGCGTTTTGAAAGACTGCTGCAAAATCTTAGACAACACAGTTCTACCTCCTGAAACAGTCGTCCCGCCTTTCACGGTCTTCTCGGGCTGCCCAGGTATGCTCCCTCTGACTTCACTTGCGTGTAAGTGTGGATAATGAGGATATTCTTATTTTGAAATTAGATTGCTATGACAAAGATACCCATTGGCTTTTAGTGCCTAGCCATAAAGGTACAGGGCACTTGGTGAACTGAAAAGTAACAATTTTAACTTGTGAAACTCGCTGCTGTAGGGTATGTAGGTGGGTGGTGTATGTTTACTTAGAACAGCATGACTGGGATGCCAGCTGGGGCCATCCTGTACAGCAACCAGCACAGATTTCTGGCGTCTAGAACCCAGCAGGTGTTAGCTCTGGCAGAGGAAGCGCTCCTGCTCCCGTGATTTCTGATTTTGCAGGTGTTTTAGGGGCTCACGCTGTAGGAAGTCCACGTGCTCGTTATTCGTATGTTAATAGGGAGGGGGAGGTACATTAAACTGAGGCATGTGAGTGTTTAGTTCCTGCCCACTGACCTGTTGCTGTTCTGTTAGCATTTGCTTACAATTTAATCAGAGTCACTGCTTTGAGCGTTGAATAGAAGCTTATTGCTGCTCTCTCCTGCAAGAACGCTGGTGCTCATGCTTTTGTTCTTCTTCCAGGACTCTTCTCTGGGGAGCTCCCGGAATGTACCCAGGAACTCATGATTGACGTTACAAAGAGCTATTACCAGAAGTTCTTGCCGCTCACTCAGGTCTAGTAGCCCATTTACTGTGTTTCAGAGCAGTGAAGTTGTGCAGGAGTGTTCTGGGGGCAGGGAGAGGGATATTGTTCAGTGAGAGCAGGGCATGGCCCTCCGCTGTCCCTGAGCGCTTCTGTGAGTGTTCCTCAACACTAACGGTCTGGCCAAGCCGTCCCTCGTGAAAGCTGCTGTGTCATGTTGTTTAAACTTTGTGTGCTCATCTGAATGTAATCCATTCCATGTTGTCTGAATTGTGCCATTAAATGTGCTGGGGCTGGGAAAGCTGATGGGGCAGCATCTCCTCCCTGCAGTGGGGGAACAACACGGAGCTGACAGCACATACTCTGCAGCCAGAGCCTGTCTTCTCTGTCAGTTCTGTTCCTAACCCAAAGCAGGTGGGTGACGGTTACTAGAAGCAATCTCCATCCTAGAACAGGACTGCTGCTGATGGGCCTGTTGTGGGCAGTTACTTAGCGGGGTTCATCAGACCGAGGGCTTTCCTTTGGAAAAATATGTGCCGCTCCGTAGGCCTGTGTGTTGCGGTGGATGGCCTCTCCTTTTCTGCCTGCAGACTGCGATTCTCCCCTGTAGGGACAGGACATCATTCATCATCCCGGGATTGGTTTTAGGACTTTTGGCTGACATTGAAACCTGTCTATGCCTTGCCTGACACGACACTTAGATTGTAGCTCTTGAAGTAGACGTCAGTCCTGTGCTCTCACCCGTCACGCAGGGTTATGATTCTCATGGCCGATAGGTGTTCTGCTTCTCAGCATTGCAGACCTTGGAGCCAAGGGGCTTTGGGAAGAGGATTGCCATCTCACTCACAGAATTCAGTGCAGCAGAAAGTGGGTAACTGAAAGCAGAAACTGGAGGTGGGTGAGAGAATGCTGCAGTTGTCCCCATTTATTGCCCAGTATGTATATTTGCAGAAAGCTCTTTGGTGCTTTTCTGCATTACAAAACCTAAGAAGGAGACTCGGA